CGTTGCCCGGCATGTGGGCGTTGGAGACCCGAGTGGCCCCGGTGCCCGTGGCTCCACTTAGGGAGAAAGGGTGACCCTCCGCAGGACTCCCCCGGCCGGGTCCGGGAATCCCTGCGCGTGCTCGGCGCCTGGGGGGGCACCCGCTCCCGCTCCGACGGTCCCACCTAACTGCCTGTGCCTGTGCCTGGGGCATGGGGCTCCCGCTCGCCTGCACTAGGTGAGGGAGGGGGTGGTGCCCTAGAGTTAAATCTGGAGGCTGATGCGGACTCCTGGCTTCACCTCCCAGACGTGGAGGCTAAATTTAGCTGGAGTTGGGGCGTGTGTGCCCAGGAGCCAGCCTGGCCCCGGGAGATTCCTTTGCTCCCTCCAGTTAGTTCTCTGGGCCAAGAGTGGGAGATAAAGTAGAACTGTTCATCCCGGAGCCAGGGAATCTCCACGGCCTGGCTCAGGCCCCTTTGGTCTGGAGTTCGGACTTGGCGTGATGCTGCGCTGGCACCTTCAGCAGAACCCCCCGCCCCACGGCGCCGCCACACACACCCATAGGCTGACTTCTGCTGAGCTGCAGCTTCCCCTCGCCGTTTCAGGAAGTAACCTCCCTTCCCCTCTGAAGCACTCCCCCACACCTCCCAGCCCCTGATGCAAACCACCCACCAGGCTCTTCCCAGCTTCTGCACCCTGGGGCGCCGCAGGAACCTTGGGGCTCCTACTCCCTGGGGCGGGCCATGGAGGCAGGTGAGGAAACAGTTACTGAAAGGCTGTTGTGGGCCTAATTCTGTCTCCGGCTCCGGGGCTCTGTGGCAGAGGCGAGGGACGGCGGGAACCCGTCTCCCACAGTCACTTTAGACCTAACTGGAGACATCTAAGGATCCCGTGGGTGGGAGGGCACTGTGGCCGGGCCAGGCTGGTGGAGTTAAGAACACTGAGTCTGGTGGAAAGGCACTAAAGCTTGGTTTTGTGAGGTTTCCCAGAATCCTGTGGGGTCCTCTGAAAACGTAGGAGTGGGCCCTTTTAAGAGTGTCAACTGGGTCAGGAGGTCCTTAGGATGTCATAACTAGAGCAGAAAGCCAGAAACCCTTAAAAAAGACCAAGGTTGGTGTGGCGTGGCCAGAATCAATGGTGTCCTTGCAGGTCATTACAGGAAATAGTGGGATCTCTGGTGTTCTAACTAGGCAGGTAGTGGGGAGGGTGGGGCCTTTGGAAGGCATACACCAGCAACATGATGGTGTCAGAGCCCAGGCTAGCCATCTAAGGTGGAGTTTGGGTTCTTTGGGGAGAGAACTGCCAAGTGGGAGGAACCTGGTCTTTTTTAAGGAGCTGTGGTGGGGATGTGAGAGGTGGGATGGACTGACCGCTTATCCCATCTTCCTTTGGAAGGATTAGGAACTGGAGGGGACTGAAGGGAGGGGGTAGCACTCTGTTGCCGTGGCAACACCAGTTTCCCTGGCTCCATCTCTCCCCCACTTGCCCATTCCAGATGCAGTGAGTGAGGGGGGGGCCATGGCGGAGGAGCGGCCCCCCCGGCTGGTGGATTACTTCGTGGTTGCTGGGCTTGCGGGGAATGGAGCACCTATCCCTGAGGAAACATGGGTTCCTGAGCCCAGCGGACCCCTGCGCCCTTCCCGGCCAGCTGAGCCCATCACCGATGTGGCAGTCATTGCTAGGGCACTGGGCGAGGAGGTGCCCCAGGGCTATACATGCATCCAGGCTTCTGCTGGGGGCCACCCCTTGGAATTCAGTGCTGGGCTCCTGGGTGGAACTCAGCCTGTCATCTGCTACCGCAGAGGCCGGGACAAACCCCCGCTTGTGGAGTTGGGGTATGTGCCTCCTAGCCATGCTGGCCCCAGGGGAGCTGGGAGGGACTATGAGTTAGAGCCAAGGTAGGGGTGTGGGATGAGGGGAGGGCCAGAGGCCAGGGAGGAGGGGCTGAAGTCATCAGTACTTGGTCTCAGGTTGGGTTTGCATGCCCGTGCTGCTGCCACCTAGCCCTTTGGTCTTGGCAGGTTATAAAGCCCCACCAATGAGGATAATACTCCCTCATAGGATGCTTGATAAGATTGAGTGGAGTAAGACCCCTGAGGGATTTAGCATGGAGTCATTGACTTCTTAGTGTCTGTTCATGAGAGTGAGAGTCGTAGCAGGCATGTGGGTTGTTACTGACAAGTAGGGTCAAGGGCAAAGAGGGGCTATGGGATTCTGGAGGAGAGTTCAGCAAGCAGAGGTGGGCCCGGTATTGGGTTTGACAAGGCTGAGTGTGCAAGGCAGTTTCCACTAGGTAGGCAGATCTGGCAGGATTGGGGTCTTTCTCCTCGGTCCTGTCCTCTTGACATTTCTCTGTTTTCTGTGCCAGGGTGTTATATGAGGGCAAGGAACGTCCCAAGCCTGGCTTCCAAGTGCTTGATACTACACCGTACAGCCACTCAGCCAACCTGGCCCCTCCAGGCCCCGGGCATCCCCGCACCTACCTCACTTATAGGCGGGCAGCAGAGGGGGCAGGACTGCATGCCCTGGGCATCACTGACCTCTGCCTGGTGCTGCCCAGCAAGGGTGAGGGCACGCCTCATACTTACTGCCGGTTGCCCCGCAACCTCAACCCTGGCATGGTGAGTGGGGCTGTGGAGCTGAGAGCTGAGACCTGGGCCCTTGGTGTGAGGGTGTGGAACTGGGCCCAAGGGTATAAAGGGGCCAGGGGCAGGCCAGACGGGTGATAGGGCTTGAGGGCTTGTGATTAGTGGCAGCTCAGAAGATTATTTGGGGGTAGTAGAGAGAAAGTGGGCCCCAGAAACCTTTGGTAGCTGTGTGTTTGCTTGTTTCTTGCCATCGGGGGCAGTGGGGCCCAGCAGTGTACCTGTGCTACAAGGTGGGCCTAGCCAAAGCCAACACACTGGTGTATGAGGCAGGTGAGTGGCCCCGTTGTCCCTCCTAGCCTTTGACCCTTCGTGTCCCTCTGCCCTGGTGCCTCCTGGCTGATTCCTTCAAGTGTTCCCAGAATTTATTTCCCTTTTGCTGCTTGGCCCTTCTCTGGGATCCCCTGGCTCCTCTCCCTGAAGTCTGATGGACACCCCTCCTTTTGGGTACTCCTCACTCTGCTTGGGTGCAGAGCTGCTGGGCCGCTATCCAGAGGAGGACAATGAGGCTTTCCCGCTGCCCGAGTCAGTGCCAGTCTTCTGCCTGCCCATGGGGGCCACTATCGAGTGCTGGCCTTCCCAGACCAAGTACCCCGTGCCCGTCTTCTCCACCTTTGTGCTCACGGGTGCCGCTGGTGATAAGGTAGGTGTGTGGCCTGTGGTAAGGGGCTGGGCCATGCAGAGCCTGCCTGACGGTCCCTCTGTCCCCTGCAGGTGTATGGTGCCGCCCTGCAGTTCTATGAGGCCTTTCCGAGGGCCAGGCTGTCAGAGAGGCAGGCGCGGGCACTGGGCCTGTTGAGCGCCGTGGAACGGGGCCGGGCGCTGGGCGGCCGTGCCGTGCGCAGCCGGCGGGCCATCGCCGTGCTGTCCCACTGGCCTGCCTTTCCAGCCTTCAGAGCCTTCCTCACCTTCCTTTACCGCTACTCTGTCTCGGGCCCCCACCGCCTGCCCTTGGAAGCGTGAGCATGGCTACCCTGCCACTGGGAAGGAGTGAGGAGGGCGCAGGAGGCGGGAAAAATTAGCATGGAGATGGGAGTGGGCTGGGCACGGGGAGGGGCCGGCTGTAGTGTGGGGTTGTACAGTGTGGCCATTGGAAAAAACTGTCACCGGTGGAGGAGACAGGGACAGCCTGAAATACAGTCTGTCCCGCTGGTTGGGCCTGGCGAGGGCTGCGTGTGATTTGCACAAGTCTGTTGAACAAGAGAGGCTCGGTGGCTGATGCAGGCCTTGAAGTGGGGTTCAGGGAGGAATAATATTCTTTTTTTTTTTCCTATGAAATTAAATTTTTTAAGTGATTATTTTTAGTTGTATATTTCACTTATTTGTTTTTAGGTGGTGCTGAGGACGGAACCCAGGGTCTTGCATGTGGGAGGCCAGCCTCTCCCGCTGAGCCCCGCCCGCCCTGTTCTTAGTTCTGGGTAGCAGTGGGGTAGGACTAGGGCTCTTAGGAGAGGAGAGGGAGAGGGACACGGGGTGGAGGAGGACGGGTGGACGGTGTGTGCCTCACCTGCTCCCTCTCTCCCCAGGCACATCTCCCACTTCATTCACAACGTGCCCTTCCCTTCCCCACAGAGACCCCGCATCTTAGTGCAGGTAAGGGCCAGGGCTGGGCTGGACGGACGGAGAGGAGCAGGCCTGTCACCAACACTGACCTCTGGCTTTTTGGCCCCCTAGATGTCTCCCTATGACAACCTGCTCCTCTGTCAGCCTGTGTCCTCACCATTGCCCCTCAGGTATGTGCCCGGGTTTGGGGAGGGGGTCTTTGATGACTGAGGACATGGTAGGTGCTGGGGGCAGTTGTTGAGGTCCTTGCAGGCTGGGCCCCAGCGGTGTCCCTGCCTGGTGCCTGGGGAAGAGTCTCCAGGGCCTGCTGGTGACGCACCCCCACCCTCGAATTGCCTGCAGCGGCGCCAGCTTCCTGCAGCTGCTGCAGAGCCTGGGCCCTGAGCTGGCGGTCACGCTGCTGATGGCTGTGCTCACAGAGCACAAGTTGCTGGTCCACTCGCTGAGGCCGGACCTGCTCACGAGTGTCTGTGAGGCCCTCGTCTCGGTGAGTACACCTGTCCGCCCACTCTTCTGGATTTGTCCCCTTACTTTTCCTTCCTTGAGGAGGTTCTCAGTCCCTTTCCCTGGGTACAGTCACCATTTCCCCAGGGCCAGTGCCCTCTCCGCGCCTGTGTCCCTCCCTGCTGCCCCGGCCCCTGTTCACTGCTCCTCTCTGGGCTTCAGATGATCTTCCCGCTGCACTGGCAGTGCCCCTACATTCCGCTGTGCCCTCTGGTGCTGGCAGACGTGCTGAGCGCCCCCGTGCCCTTCATCGTGGGCATCCACTCCAGCTACTTTGATCTGCATGACCCTCCTGCCGACGTCATCTGTGTCGACCTCGATACCAACACGCTCTTCCAGTAAGAGGCTGGGTCTCACGGGGCACGGGAGGCGAGCTCGCAGGAGCCCACGTGTGAGCTGCCCTGGCTCCAGGCCTGAGGTTAAGGGGGGAGGAGCGTGTGGGGAGTCCTGTCGTTCTTTTTCTCCTGTTTATCTCGTAGGACAGAGGAAAAGAAGCTCCTCTCCCCTCGGACCCTGCCCCGCAGACCCTACAAAGTTCTGCTGGCCACACTAACAACCCTGTACCAGCAGCTGGACCAGAGTGAGAAGACTGGGTGGGGGTGGGAGGCTGGGACTGTCATTGGGCTCCCGCTTCTCATGTGGGGAAGGCTGGGGGGAGCCAGACATTCCTTGAGGAGGTTAGAGGAGTCAGGATCTGGTGGGAGTCAGGGGGTTCTGCTTCCAACAGAAGCCAGAGGGAAGGAAGCTGGGTGCCACGGTGTATGCCTGTAATCCCAGTGAGTTGGGAGGCTGAGACAGGAGGCTCACAAGTTCAAGGCCAGCCTCAGCAAGTTAGTGAGAGAGACCCTCAGCATCTTAGTGAGACCCTGTCTCTAAATCAAAAATAAATAGGACTGAGATGCACCCTTAAGCTCAATCTCCAGTACAGCATTCCCGAACACCTCAGGAAGGTTGAACTTGTCGCTGGGGAGGCCACTGTTGGTGTGAGGTCTGAGGGGGCTGGGGATGGAACAGGTGTCAGTGTGAAGGATGGGGTGGGCAAGCACTGTGGGTGCTGACCCCGACTCTGGGCATCTCTTCCCAGCGTACACTGGACCTGAGGAGGAGGCATCCCTGGAATTCCTGTTGACGGACTATGAGGCCGTCTGCGGCCGCCGCGCCCGCCTGGAGCGGGAAGTCCAGGGAGCCTTCCTGCGCTTCATGGCCTGCCTGCTCAAGGGCTACCGGGACTTCCTGCGCCCCCTCACCCAGGCCCCTTCTGAGGGGTCTCGTGACGTTGACAACCTTTTCTATCTTCAGGGTAACGCGAGCCTGTCTCTGCTCTCAAAGGGTATTGTGGGAGGGTGGCCTGGGGGCCGCCAGGTTTCTTATTCCCTCACTCAGTAAGTGTTTTGGTGGCACCTGCTTGAGCCATCCACTCTTAAGGTCTTGGAGGAAGTAAGGGTTCAAAGATGAGGCAGATGGGGCCCCGCTCTCTGGAGCTCTGGGCATAGAGTGGACACAGTGACCTTTGTGAGCAGCCCCCATGGGCAAAGCTCGGTTGAGGGACCTGTCCTTGGAGAGCCCTCAGCGTATGACGGTGGGTGCAGGTAGACCAAAGGAAGGACTCTGGGGCCCTGGTGCTAGACGGAGCTGAGCTGGTCCCTCTGTGTGTCAGGGGTATGTGTCAGTGGGCCGAGAGGTGACGACCTCGGTGGGCATGGCTCCTGAGAAAGCAGAGGGCCGAGAATGGGGCAGGGCAGGATGGCTGCAGGAGAGAGCCCTGGTCACCTCCCTTCCCTGCCTCACTCTTGTCCCCATCAGGTTTCCTCAAGTCCCGAGAACGCTCCAGCCACAAGCTGTACTCTCAGCTGCTGCACACGCAGATGTTCTCACAGTTCATCGAAGAATGTTCTTTTGGCTCTGCTCGGCATGCTGCCCTTGAGTTCTTTGACTCTTGTGTTGACAAGGTATCGAGTATGTCCCTTCTCTATGTGCCCAGTGGTCTCTGCTCTCCTGCTGCTTCTCTCTCTTGCCCACAGGCCACTGTAAACCCAAACGTGTCTCAGCTGTGACGGGGAGGGCACCCCTGGAGTCACGAGCACGTAGCGTGTGCCGCTGGCTTCCTCTGCGAAGTACCGTCCCATTCTCACTCTGTCCCCCAGCCGGGTCTTCAGGACTCCTGCCCTGCGGACGTGCTTTCCTGGAAGATGCCGTGTTCCGGACGTCTGGCATGCTCCAGGCCCACTGTCTTTTTATTTTATTTTTTTGCGGTACTGAGGATGGCACCTGCGAGTGCTCTGCCACGGAGCTGCCTCCCGGATTCTTTTTATTTTTCATTTTGAGGCAGGGTCATCCTAAGTTGCCAAGGCTGGCCTCAACTTTCCGTCCTGCCTCGGCTCCCAAGTCACTGGGGTACAAGTTGCGTGGCACCCTGCCCCTGCCGCGCCTGACGCCTGACGCCGCGCGCTCCCCTTGCTGTTCAGGTCCACCCCGAGCAGGAGAAGGCCGAGCCGGCGCCCTTAGTGGAGCTGGAAGAACTCTCGGGAAGCGAGCTCACCGTCTTCATCACCCCCCCTGAGGAGCCCCCCGCCCCAGAGGGCAGTGAATCCACTCCCCAGTACTGGTGAGAGATTTCGTCCCCTCCTGTGTCCCACGTGGACCCTTGGATGGTCCACTTCAGGTGCCTGGCCCTGTATTGACTGCCCTGATGTCGGCTCTCTCTGCCCCTCCAGCTACGACGGGTTCCCAGAATTACGGGCTGAGCTATTTGAGTCTCCTCAAGAGCAACCAGGGGCCCTGCCTGTGCCAGGCCCATCCCGTAGTGCCCCCAGCAGTCCTGCCCCTCGCCGTACCAAACAGGTAAGCAGCTCCTGGGCCCCGCGGGGAACCCGGCTCAGGCCGAGGGCGGCTGCTTCGTTTCTGTGAAATGGGATGAGGCGGCGGCCTTCCCGTAGACCGGAGGGAGTTCACTGTGCCTGGCCATGAGAAGTGGCGCACAAACCTCTGCCGTTGTCATCACCAGCACCCTCCCATCGTCACTTCTGGGAATCCAGAGGCTGGTGGCTCAGTCCAGGGCCCCTGCCAGTGCTCAGGAGCCACAGCCTGTCAGTACAGCCACTTCCTCGGTACAGGCACAGAGCGTCCTTCAGGGGAGGCGCTGCTTCTTCGGACCTCCCTGGCATCGTGTTCACCTTGTTGTGTCCTCTGCCCCGCCTAGGAAATGAAGGTGGCCCAGCGGATGGCACAGAAGTCAGCGACAGTGCCCGAGCTGTGGGCCCGGTGCCTGCTGGGCCACTGCTACGGGCTGTGGTTCCTGTGTCTTCCGGCCTATGTGCGGTCAGCACCCTCCCGGGTGCGGGCGCTGCACACAGCCTACCATGTGCTGCGCGAGATGGAGAGCCGCAAGGTGGTGCTCCCCGATGAGGTGGGCGCCATTTACCATGCGGCCATGGGGGCTGCGAGAGGGGAGCTTGTGGGAGTTGAAGAAAGCAGATGGGGAGCCCAAGATTGGGCAGATGGGGAGCCCAAGGTTGGGCAGATGGGGAGCCCCAGGGCTGGGCAGATGGGGAGCCCAGGGCTGGGCAGATGCTCCTCAGCATTCACTGTGAGTGCGGTCACATCAGCACTCACTAAGGGGACTGCAGGGTAGCAGGGTCAGGAGAGCCGCAGGGGCCAGTGAGGAGTGCAGGAACTGAAAAGCCTGGAGGGCGGGCTTGGAGGGAGGCTGCTGCCATTCCGTGCCTCTCGGCCTAGGTGTGTTACCGGGTGCTGATGCAGCTCTGCTCCTACTACGGGCAGCCCGTCTTGTCTGTGCGGGTCATGCTGGAGATGCGACGGGCAGGCATCGTGCCCAACACCATCACCTATGGTTACTACAATAAGGTACCTAGTTTGGGGTAGGACGGCTGGCAGGCTGGACCAGGTGTGCGTGGGGAGGACGCCGTTCCCTGACCCCTGCTTCCCCAACTTGGAGACTGGGCTTATGCAGCTCCCCTGGGTCCTGGGACCATTGTCCTCCATCGCCGCCTCTTGTAGCCTAGGCACCAGCAAATGGCTTTTTGGGTTTTTTGTTTTCATCTTAGCTTCTTTGATTCCCCATCGGAACAGCCCTGACTGTAGCTCATAGTACTGGCCATGTGTCTGGCACTCTTCTGAATACATCATACATTTTTAAAAACTTCACATTATACATTTTAAATAACTTTATATTCACCATCCCCATGGGGAGGAGGATCACCCCTGTCTCATAGATGAGGAGATGAGTTACAGAAAATTCATAACTTGCCCAAAGTACCATAGTGGACGAGTTGGGGAGTTAGAATATGAGCAAAGGCATATTCCTATTTCCCAAATTCAGCCCCTTCACCATGATACTGAACTATCTCCTGCTTTTCAGATGAGGAAACTTTTTTTTTTCGTTGTTTAAAATATTTATTTATTTTAGTTATCGGCGAACACAACATCTTTGTTTGTATGTGGTGCTGAGGTTCGAACCCGGGCCGCACGCATGCCAGGCGAGCGCGCTACCACTTGAGCCATATCCCCAGCCCGGATGAGGAAACTTAATGACCAAAATCTGAAATGATTTCTTCAAAGCCACAGAGTTTTTAAGTAGTAGAGTCTGACTAAGAACTTCCTCCATTACTCTGGGCTTCTCGCAGGTCCTCTCAGGACAGTGGCTCACAATTACCCTTGTTCCTGGCTGAGCCATTGGTCAGGCAGTCCTCGGCAGGATGTGTGGAGAGAAGGTGGTCCCTGGGGCTCGAGGACAGGAGGTGGGCATCAGGCTGGGGTCAGGGTGCTGGAAGGAGGCCACCCTGATGGACGCTATACTTGGCAGGCTGTGCTGGAAAGCAAGTGGCCATCTGGTACACCAGGTGGACGCTTGCGTTGGGCCAAGCTTCGGAATGTTGTCCTGGGGGCTGCTCAATTCCGTCAGCCTCTGAGAGACCGGCAGCGGCAGCAGCAGCAGCAGCAGCAGCAGCAGCAGGTGTCAGCACACCAAGAGGCTGGCAGTTCCCAGACAGGTGGGCAGGGAATGGTGAGCAGGCTTAGGGAGGGGCAGCAGGCTCTTGGAGAGCCAGAGCTGGCTTCGCGGTCAGCATGGGCTTTCAGAGAATAGCTAAGCTACACTCAACTGGTAACAACAGAGAGAGAGTTCTGCCTGAGGGGAACCTTGCCAAGCCAGGTCCCTCGGCGGAGGTCTGTTGGGGTTTCTAGCTAGCGGCCTCTAAATCCCTTCTCTGTCCTCCAGAGTCCTACCTGGAACGCCCTTCCCCAACCCGTCCCCTTCAGCGCCAGACGACTTGGGCTGGGCGAAGTCTGAGGGACCCGGCCTCACCCACTGGGCGCCTGGTGAAGAGTGGCAGTTTGGGCAGTGCCCGAGGAGCCCAGCCCACTGTAGAGGCCGGTGTGGCCCACAGTAAGTGGCCTTGTCTGGTCCTCCTCTTCCCTTCCCCACAGTCAGTTTTCCTAACCACTTGCAAGAAAGGAGAAGAACCAGGGCCAGAATTCTGGAAAAGTGGGCCTGTGTGGTGGGTAACTGTGCACTCTGAGGAGTCAAAATGTCGTGGTGGGGTCAAGTGTCAGAGTTTATGCAGCCGGAATTGTATTACTCGAGAAGCAGGCAGCTGGAGGAGAGGCTGGCCTCCACCTTCCCTGATTCTTTTTTTGTCCTGCAGTGATAGAGGCTTTAGGGGTCCTGGAGCCCCGGGGATCACCTGTGCCCTGGCATGATGGAAGTCTCTCAGACCTGAGCCTGACAGGGGAGGAGCTGGCACCTGGAGGCAGTCCAGGCGGCTCAGGCTTGGCCCTGAGTGCCCAGTCCACTGAGGCCCTGGAAGGGCTGAGTGTGCGAGGGCCCAAGGCTAGTGGGCGTCAGGATGAGGCAGGCACCCCCCGGCGAGGGCTGGGTGCCCGCCTCCAGCAGCTGCTCACTCCTTCCCGCCGCTCCCCTGCTGCCCGCATTTCCCCATCAGAGATGCCCCCTGACCTGCCTCCCCCTGCCCGTCGCAGCCCAATGGAGAGTCTTCTGAGGCCCCGGGAGCGACCTGGATCCACTGCATCGGAGGTAGCCAGCCCCGCAGCTTCAGGAGGCCCGGGGAGGGGCCTGCAGGGTCGGGCCTGCAGGGTCGTTAGAGCTGGCATCCCCGCTGGAGAGGAGCGCGGAGCCAGCTGACAGGGTTTCCTCGTGTGATGGCAGAGCTCAGCCTCTCTGGGCAGTGAGTGGGACCTCTCAGAGTCTTCTCTCAGTAGCCTGAGCCTCCGCCGTTCCTCAGAGCGCCTCAGTGACACCCCTGGATCCCTCCAGCCACCTTCCCTGGAAGTGAGGATAACCGCCCCCCTGCAGTCTTCCCGGGAAAGGCGGGTGGAGAGGAGGTCAAGGAGGGCTGGCTGGGATTTGGAGGTGGAAGGGCCCAGGAGGGGGCACTGAAGGCTGAGCCAGGCCTACTTCCTGGGGTCTCCTTGTCCACAGATTCTGCTCTCCAGCTGCTCCCTGTGCCGTGCCTGTGACTCACTGGTGTACGATGAGGAAATCATGGCTGGTTGGGCACCCGACGACTCTAACCTCAACACAACCTGCCCCTTCTGCGCCTGCCCTTTTGTGCCCTTGCTCAGTGTTCAGACCCTTGATTCCCGACCCAGGTGCCCAAATCAGGGCAAGTGCCGTGGGTGGGACAGGAAGGCAGTGGTCCAAGAGCTGACCCCTTCTGCTGTCCCCTTGCAGTGCCCCCAGCCCCACCCCTGCCCCTGCTGGTGCCAGTAGCAGCAAAGACGCCCCTGTTCCTGGGGGTCCTGGCCCTGTGCTCAGCGACCGCAGGCTCTGTCTCGCCCTGGATGAACCTCAGCTCTGCAACGGGCACACAGGGGTAAGGGCTGGGCCAACGGGGCACAGAGAGTGGGAGCATGTAGCCTGTGTGGAAAGGTGACCAATAGGTGGTACTCAGGGCAAGAGGCCTCCCAGAAGCCACTGGAATAATGGCTTGGTGGGAGGCAGGGCTCTGGATAGGGCCCTTCTACTCTGTGTCTGACAGGGCGCCTCTAGGCGCGTGGAGAGTGGGGCCTGGGCATACCTGAGTCCCCTGGTGCTGCGGAAGGAGCTGGAGTCTCTGGTAGAGAATGAGGGCAGCGAGGTTCTGGCACTGCCTGAACTGCCTGCTGCCCACCCCATCATCTTCTGGAACCTTCTGTGGTATTTCCAACGGCTACGCCTGCCTAGTATTCTACCAGGCCTGGTGCTGGCCTCCTGTGATGGGCCCCCGCCTCCCCAGGTCAGTATTTTATGTGGCCTCCTTTCCTGTCTCCCAGCTCTGTGTCCTCGTCTTCTGTGTCTTTGGCACTAAAGAAGGAGCCCAGACTGTGGAGTATTTGTGTCTGGTTGACTCCTGGCCCTTGCAGTTCACCACTCTGGGCCACAGTTTTTCATGTGTCATAAGCAGTGACATCACAGGGCTGTGGCACAGGCACCTTGTGCAGCGCTTGGTACCTAGGAAATCACTAGTTAATGTTCATCTACTCACTCCATCTTTTAGGTTCCAGGCACAGTTTTCAGGCATTAGAGATGTAGCAGATTTCAAAACACATCCTTACTCTGCAGAGCTTACATTCTCATGGGAGTAGGTCCTTCCCTCTGCTTGGTGTGTCCTGTAATGTCTGTCTGTCTCTTTGGACACTGCCTTCCATTCTGTGAGCCTGACTGGCTCTCCTGTCTCAGCTCCCCCAGGCCCCGTCTCCTTGGCTAACGCCTGATCCAGCCTCTGTGCAGGTGCGACTGCTGTGGGATATCCTGACTCCTGACCCTAGCAGCTGCCCACCTCTCTATGTGCTCTGGAGGGTCCACAGTGAGTCTGGTATCTGACATAGGGATGGGAGGGGTGAGTCCCACACCTAGAAGGCTCCGTCATCCTGGTGACCTTTCTTCCTTCACCCAGGCCAGATCCCTCAGCGGGTGGTGTGGCCAGGCCCCGTACCTGCGTGTCTCAGCTTGGCATTGCTGGAGTCAGTGCTGCGCCATGTTGGGCTCAATGAGGTGCACAAGGCTGTGGGGCTCTTGCTGGAGACTCTAGGGCCCCCTCCTGCTGGCCTGCACCTGCAGAGGTACGATGCTCATCTGAGGGTCCCTGACCTGCACCAGCTTCACACCTCTTTTCTCTGGCTTACACCCTTCTGCCTCTGTACAGGGGTATCTACCGCGAGATCTTATTCCTGACAATGGCTGCCATGGGCAAGGACCACGTGGACATAGGTGAGGGAGCAGGCGGGGGACTGAGGAGTTTAAGGACCCTGGGCCAGGAGTGAGAGGCTGGGGTCCTAGTGCACTGATTCCCACCCTTTTCCCTAGTGGCCTTCGACAAGAAGTACAAATCCGCCTTCAACAAGCTGGCCAGCAGCATGGGCAAGGAGGAACTGAGGCAGCGGCGGGCACAGATGCCCACTACCAAGGCCATTGATTGCCGAAAATGTTTTGGAGCACCTCTGGAATGCTAGGGACCCTTGAGCTTCCCTCTCCAGCCTATGGTGGGGAGGCGAGGCAGCAAGGATTCTATAGACAAACTGCTTCTCTGTTCCCTTCATAGAGGACTTGGGAACAGGCTGGGAAGCCTGTTCAGCCATAGGCTCCAAGTGGGGCCAGCAGAAAGGGGGACCCACTGTTACCAAAAGTCACAATTCCCCCGTCTCCATCCTGCTAACCTTTTCATGTCAGTGTTGGGGAGAGCTGGGGAGCCGGTGCAGCTCTGTCCCTCCCCGAGCCTATTCCAGGAACTCTCACCCAGGGCACCCAAGATCTGCACTGCCCTGGTTACTTTAGAAGTTTTTGTTTTAAAAAACAACTGGAAAGATACAGAGCTACTGAGCCTTTGCCCAGATGAGAGGGGGGATCTCATCCCACCAGTGGTGGTCCCCCTTCCCTGGCGTTGCTGAAGGAGCCCAAGGCTCTCCATGCCTTTCTACCTTAGTGTTTGTATTTTATTTTAAGTTATTTATTCTGGAGCCAGAGCCCCCTTGCTAATGAGGCTCTTATGGAGAGTGAGAAAGAGAAGGGAAATGGGGCACAGAGGTCTGTAGCTCCCTGAAAGCCAGGCAGTGGGAGCCAGGGGAGCCCCAGGCCCCCCTGAGGAAGAACTGGTGCCTCCTGCAGTCCTGATCCTTCCTGTCCACTCCATCTTGGGAAGCGCCCCACCCACCCAGGGCCCTGACCTGTGCAATAAGAATTGTCCCCTGCAAAGTTTTGTTGTATGTAAATATAGTAAAAGCTGCTTCTGTCTTTTTCCTTCTGCCTCCCGTTTCCTGGGTCCGGATGATAGTGGGGGATGCTTATGCTGCGCCTTTCTCCTGGCCACCCGTCCTCTTTTCCACCTCTGTCCTTTGCAACCTTCAGGTATACCCTGCTTCTCCTGGCCATGTCTGGTGCTGGCCCCTTGGGGCACAGGGAGTTCTTAGAGCAGGGTGGGGGGGAATCTGGTGCTGCTATGGCAGTGCCAGTCTGTGTGGCACTTCCATCCCTCCCACACAATCACCCCCTTGTCCCTCATCTGTACCCCACACAAAGGCTCCATTCTCTGGGGGCCTTGAGCTCATCTTTGCCTTATTTCCTCTCCCCTAACTTGCCCCCCGACTTCTCCAGTACCTCCACAGAGATGACAACCCTTTCCCCAGTAGTTGGTTTTGGCGGCCCTCACGTGTCCTGGGGGACTTGGCATTGAGTCATTCTCGTCCTCCTTAGTTGCTCTATTTGCAGGCAGTATTCTTCTGCTCAGGGTCTCAGCCTGGGGACAGCACTGGAAAGAAAGGGGCTTCTTGTGCTGTGAACATCAGGGAGATGGGCATCATTTTTTCTAATCCCTTGGCCCACTCAACGCTCTCCTTTTTTTCCTATGTAAGAAATAAACAGGAAACAATTCCTAACAGAGCTGCAAAACCATTTACCAAAGGGAGTCAGCTAACAAAACAAATGCCTTGGGAAGGAGGGCTGCAGGATCAATGGGGGAAGTGACTTACATTAATGTTTAGTGTAAATCCCTGGGTGATGGAGATCAGTGGGTGAAGAGAAGTACTACTTCTGAATGTCCTTCATTGCCAGAGGACCCTTCCCCATCCTGCCTTGATGCTTTTCCAGTCCTTAAAGGAGCTGCAAAGGAGGAAACCAAAGGGCTTAGGAAATGCCACCATCTGTCTTGCTAGATGATGATCTCTTCAGAGGTCACCCTACTTTCTGATTAGACCCCACTCACCAGAATCGACCTCCCTATTTGGTCCCTAAGGCCTAAGGACCTTTAGTAAGGGTAGACTTGCCTGTGTGTGTGTGTGTGTGTGTGTGTGTGTGTGTGTGTGTAGTGGTGGTGATGCCGGGGATCAAATTCAGGCCTCATTCATGCTAGGCAAGTGCCCTACCAGTGAGCTATGCCCCTAGCTTACAGACCTGCCCTCTTATAATTAATTTGGGTATAGTATACTCAGTGCTGCACTTAACTATAGTGAGAAAATTTTAGGGCCCAGTCCCTGCCCAAGTAGAACATACTATCTTACTAGTCTAGCATGCCCTTTGGTTTCACAGTAAAAACTCTGCCTTCCAGCTTATGCCTCTCATTTTTGAGAAGTTAGATAAGAGAACTACAGAATTTCAAACTACAGACTATCTGGGAATTCCGATAGCAACTTATGATTCCATAACATCTGATATCTGTCCTGTGGCCTAGGGAGCTGTATGAGGGAAAGGATATGTCTAAATTGCCTGGGTCAGTTTCTTTTTCCAGACTTCAGAGTATAAATCTTGTCTCTGCCACTTACTAATCTTCTGGTGACAGACAAGTAACTTAACTGCTATGCCTTAGTTTTTTTCTCATCTGAAAATGGGGAGGGGGTCATTTAAAGATTAATTATATTATCCATATGAAATGTTAAGCACATTCAGTAAATGTTAGCTTCAAAAAGGCAAGTGGTGCATGTCTGTAATTCCTCCAACTTGGGAGGCTGAGGCAGGAGGTTTGCAAGTTTGAGGGTAGCCTCAACAATTCAGTGAGAACTTCAACTTAAGTGAGACCCTTTCTCAAAATAAAAAATAAAAAGGACTGGGATGTAGTTCAGTGGTAAAACACTCCTGGATTTAATCTCCAGTACCAATTTAAAAAAAAAAAAAAAAAAAAAAAAGAGGAAACAGTGGTGGAGCCTGTGTAGGGCAAAAGTCATGTCCACTACAATACTGGCCTCACTTCTTTAGAGCTTGATCGCTCCTGTTTGAAAGTCCCTTTCCAAAGCCTGATTTTTATTTTGTTGGGAGGCAGTTTCTCGGGCCTTGCAGAGTCTCCTTCAGGTGGGTCTCTTCCACTACTGTGTTTCTCATGTTTTCTCAAAGTTTTGAGGACAGCTTTTTAGATAGCAGAGAATGCACTGGTTTTATGATGGATGGCAGTTTAGGAAAAGAGGAATGTACACTCCATGAGGGTAGTGGCTTTATCTTGTTCACTTCTGTATCCCCAGCAAATGGGAGTGACTGGTAATATCATGGGTGCTTTATCAATGACTGAGAAGAATCAGTGAAAGCATTATGATGGTGGGTCTGGGGAAATTTTCAGTGCAGTACAAGGTAGGTACTGTGGGGAGAAGACCAGTATAAGTTGAATTTAGAACAAAGAGGGTGAAATTGTTGGAAAAGCAAGGAAAATTCTCAATAGTAGTTACCCTTATTACTGTTTTATATAGTTTATTGAGTGCTTATTGCCTCAATCACTTAAATGTACTATTTGTAATCCTTACAATTCCCTTATGAGTTAGGCACTCTTATTCCCATTTTACAGATGGGGAAAATAAGGCATTGAAATAGAAGTTAAGGGCTGGGGTTGTAGCTCAGTGGTTGAGTGCTTGCTTGCCTGGCATGCATGAGGCACTGGGTTCGATCCTCAGCACCACATTAAAAAAAAAAAAAGATACTGTGTCCATCTACAATTAAAAAATATATTAGAAAAAAGAAAATAGAAGTTAAGCTTGGCATTGTGGTGCATGACTATAAAACCATTGGCTTGGGAGGCTTAGGCAGGAGGATCACAAGTTTGAGGCCAGCTTGGACAACTTAAAGAGGCCCTGTTTAAAAATAAAACATAAAAGGGACTGGGGATGTAGCTCAGTAAGTAGTACATACAGTGCCACTGGGCTTGAGCCCCAGTACCACAAAACAAAAGCAAAAATGAAAACAAAACAACAACAAAAAAACCCCTAACTCCCAAACAAACAACAAAACAACCACCCAGAAGTTAATTAATTTGCATCCAAAGCACCCAAGTGATAAAAGGGCCAAGATTCAAACTCAAGCACTCAACTGAGTGCTTGTGCTTGACCATTTTCTTTCTTTACCTGGACACTATCCTAGCATGCTAACAGGTCTCTTATTCACTTAAAATAAAAACGGAGGCATGCCTGCGGGTGGGTTCAGGGTCTACCTGTCTTTTTGTTTGCTTTTTCCATCTGTCCTTACATGACTGTGCCCTCCATTACAATTTCATTTCTATTGCCCAGCATGACTTCTGCATGATTTGAAAAATATGTTCCTGCCTCTGGAACCAGTTCAAACCGCTGCTTGGTCACTAGCTCCCTGACTCTGGCACATTGTTTAAACTCTCTGACCTGGTTTCCTGCGATACCTGGGTTCAAATTTTGGCTCTGCCACTTAACATGTAACTCTGGGGAAAAACCCAATGGATCTGTATCTCCTTTGCCTCACTCACAAAACAGGAGCTCTGAGCACGGTGCCCGGCCCGCAGAGCCTTCCCGGGAACGCCGGGTGGGATCGTTCCCTCAACATTCCGTCCAGTGACACTCGGTCCCTATCCTTAAGGTGCCCAAGCACGCTAAGAGTGTGGGCCTAACTGCGCCGGCGAAGTGGCCGGGCTGGCGGAGGAGTGGGCCTCGAGGTGATGGGCTGGACTCAGGCGGGGTGGGAGGCTGTTTCTTCACTGAGAACCTCACGAAACCAGGAGATACCGAGAAAGGGTGCTTCGCTGGCTCTGCACACCGTAGGTCCTCCATAAACCTGGCCACTTGCCTTTTTCCCCCCCCTGGTGTCGTGGCTGTCACGACAGGACCGAGCAGAGGCCGACCAACACCAGCAAGCCCAAGGCCTTTGGCAGACGGAGACAGGCCACGCCCCAAAGAGACAGCAAGGCCCAAGCGCCTAAAGCTACTTCTATCGTGAAATTCCTGAATTCTGTCGCGATGAAACACTGCTCAACGTAGAGCCTAGCACCGATCGCCGGTCTCCATCTTTAGAAATGAAAGAATGAGAGCTGGCCAAAGGGGAATCCCGGTTTTGGGAGACTAGGGTACGGCGGCTGCCTGGGGACCAAAACGTCTCTAAGGTAAAGTTTCAGCCTGAAGCGATTTTTTGACCCCCGACACTTAATGGGCTGTCGAAGACCCGGATGTGTCTGGGACTGGCCGAGGTACCCATTAACGCGCCCCCGCTAGACCATCCCCCTCCTTCGTCTAAGATTGGGCCTTAGGTACGCCAGTCATCACTTCTCCAGCCACTCTTTCTTCAAGGGTGGGGTAAAGTCTAGGCATCCCATTTTTTATTGGTACGGCGAAGAAGAAAGGGGCGGAGTGGCCGGCTTAGGTCGTCCAATGGGCGTCGTGGCGTGTGGGTAAGGCGGAGCCGAGGCGCTTGGCAGCTGCCCAATCAGCG